ATGGGGATGTTACGACAGCTGTAAGCATGAGGACTGGTCGTAACTACCTCTTGTTCAGTGCTGTTGTAAGTTCAAACGGTCATTGAACGAGTGGTCATTAAATGAGGACCACCTATATTCCAAAAATATGTGAAATTAAGTATCATTGCATAAATTAAAAATAGTTTAAATATTTCATTTTCAAAATCCTGTTATCACTGAAGGTTTAAGTATCATTGCATAAATTAAAAATAGTTTAAATATTTCATTTTCAAAATCCTGTTATCACTGAAGGTTTTACATTAATAATTATAATTTAAAAATGTCTATGTCTAAAAAAACCCACATATTCTTTAAATAACTGATGTGGCAGATAGCATAGTACTAGGTGTGCATTTAATAATAATTACAATAAGGCACATTATTGTACACCATGGTAATTTAAAGCTCACTAACATGCTAAATTGAGAATACTGGGGAATCCAAAAATAAAAATAGCCAGGCTATCCTTTTATTAGAGAACCTGGGTCGAGTGTAGGGTGTAGTTCTGAAAATATTTACAAAGGTTGTTAGAAAACAATACATTAAATTAAATCTTCCAGAATATAGGAAGGCAAGGAATAAGAAATTGCCTATCCAGTGGAAGACCACTTTGATTCAATATGTTATGCTACCGTTAATTAATTTTGCCTTGGAAGATTCACTGATTTCGTTGTTCATTAAAAAAGAATTCCAATGGTTTGGAAAGTAAGATGACAATGGAAATGGTATCAATGCACACTTTTTAATGATTAAAAATATCAATACTCTAACATAGTATCTCTGTCAACTGTACAATGATTGAAGAATTTTATCTCTTTCTATATTTGAACAAGAATTGTATTGCTGGTAATCCCAATTACAGAGCTATTAGCAAATCTGACTTGCATATACAAGTTTTTGTGTGTATGGGCTGGAGTTGGCAAGACAGAGGTTAGGTGCAACCAGCCAGTTAGATTGATAAACAAACTGTAAATAGTCTATTATAACAAATGACAGAAAAAAGAAACTGAGGACTTAAACCTTGGGGGTTACACATTTACAGAACTAGATGCTTAGCCTTTCTAGAAAATTACTTTTGTCACAACAAAGGTCACTTGTATCTGTAATCAAATATCTGATCTACTCAAACTAGGTCCTTGACTTTGCATGGCAGCATCAAGTTCCTAGAGAAAAAAACTGAGTAGCCTAGAGATAGGCTCTGGCAATATGTTTAATTCTCCTATGATAAGTAAATTGATTAAATATTAGTAACTTAACTATATGATACAGCATGAATATATATATATATATAAGGCTGATTTTGATTCGTACATTAGAGATATAAGTTCGTTGTTGCTGTTTTGCCCTTTCCTCCTTTTTCTAAATAAGATGAATTAAAACTATTTTTTTAAAAGAGAAAAAGAACAATTATAAGGAGAATAATATCCAGGTGGGTATTTTCAAACCATCCAATACTCCTCCATTACAGCACCAGCAAACACAGCATGCACAAATTAAGCACAACTTGTGTTGTCTTCAACAGGAACACAAGAATTCAAAATCTCCAGATGGTCACTCATGCCCTAGACACCTCATAAGTGGATGACTGCAATGCACTCTACATGGGGCTGTCCTTGAAGGCCATCCAGAAGCTACAGCTGGTTCAGAATGCAGCAGCCTGGGCACTAATGGGCATGCTGTGGTATGTGCATGTGACACCCACTGCTCCACGAGCTGCACTGACTACCAGTTGGTTTCCAGGTATAATTCAAGGTGTTGGTTAGTAAAGTAATCCACCACAATCTATTTCATGTTTCTTTTGTAAAAACACAGATATTCTGGGATGAATATATGTTAAGAGTCACCACTAGTGTCCATTATGCCTATCAGAAATTTAAATTTTCATCCCAAGAAATACATTTTCAACATGAGTTTTCAATAAATTATGTATAGCTATCATCTGGCTTTCTCCTATTTAGGAAAAAAACAAATCAGTATAAAGGTGAAGAGAAATAAAACAGAGCAATAATATTATTTCTCTTACATAAGATTTATGGCTCTCAAGTTTGTGAACATGTATGGGAGGGGAGGGAGGAGAACAAATATGTATGCAAATGAAAACAGAATTTAAGCTATTTAATACTATTGGTACCAACCATTTCTCCCTGAAATGTCATTTTAAAATCACAAAATGACTGAACAATGATAAGTTCTTCATTCTGAAATTCTGTAAAATCATTTGAATGTAATATAAAAACATATTTACAGTGCTCTACTCCCTCTCCCTTTCATTTCTCTAGTTCCTTCTAAGAAAAAGTACAGAGCTAAGAATACCTACCTCCAGTCCTCGTGTCTGCTGGCTTATCTGATGGTTTAACTGCTGCAGTTCAAGACGAAGCTGCTGTTCTCTCTCAGATGATTTCCCATGGTTAGCAATGTCTGTCATAGATAATCTCTCCCTTTTGGGATAGATAATTGTTTGGAAAGGGAAAAAAGTTTTTTTTGATTCTTGCTTCTCAGGTTAATTGAAAAAAAGTTAAAACACATATAGTGTGTGCAAGTTCAAACCCCTACCTGTCACCAAGCCGTCCCTGAGAAGGTACATTTTGATGGGGTGAATAGGATGAGCCTCCCCATGCACTGTGTGTTCCATATGGGCTGTAATCTATAAAGAACAGGAAAATCCTATGTAAAAAATTATTTGTTAGAATTATTATAATAGAATCCTAGTAGTCAGCTCAATTTCCAAAGCAGCCCTCTGTGCAACCTGTAAAGACTTGCATCTACAACAGATCACTGATTAACCATTTATACATACACATGCATACATATATATATGTATGAATGAATTTGTGTGTGTGTGTGTATTCATTCTCTCTCTTTTTAATATATTGGTTCTATGCAAAACAAACAAGTTTGTGGATGTTTGCAACAATTTTAATAGCCCTGGGTCATATTTTCCTCCCCTTTTAAACAGCTATATTTCATAGCAAATAGATCTGAGCGTGTATCTCACTGCTGCATGGCCCAGTCTGTTGCTACCTTATTGCCCACTCTATGAGGAGTGCTGCCACCTTGGCTGACTTTTCCATTAGTTTTCCTTAGCAACATACAAGGCAGCAACATGATCCTTAGCTTCTTAGTTTAGCTTATCTCTTTTGCTATGTAACTCTAAACTTAACTTGCAGATTTCAGCTGAGATCTGCTCTTCAGCAGAAGAGTCCTGCAACACTAGTGCCTCATTTATAAGCCTGCTCAATAAGTGGTCCCCTTCTTACTAGGATTGTTCTGGGGAGCCCCATCAAAGGACATCCTCCAACTTTTCATTATTTCTGTTAAAAACTAAAATTTTGAATGAACTGAAAATAACCTTTTCTAGCAAAAGTTAAGGAAAGAACACAAATCTGTCTTATATCCAGAGATCTATATGTTTATACATAAATAACGCATGCCCCCCATCTCTCATAGTCTTTTAAGTTAACCTCAATGCCACACTGTGTCTCAATAATTTGGGACACAAATTATTATTCACCATAGCAAATGCACTGTCTTTTTTTCACCAGTATTAGTTATAAGCTTTAAAACAGGATCTTAAGTCATAGTTTGTAGAGGAAAATAAACTCCAACCAATATATGAGCATTAGCATTAACTGTAGTTAAAGATACAGAGTGTATGCTTTGTTCTAATAATAGAGCAATAAGAAGAAAATCACAAGTCTATCCCCCTATTCATGGGGAGCCGATACTATTTCAGTATTAGCTTTCTTTTTGTTCTAACTTTAATGTCACCTGCCAACCTATGCCTAGGTCCATTTCCATAAGTGAGCCACAGTACTGAGTCAGAGCTACTAAAAAAGAAAACAGGACAATAAAGCTTTATACCTGACACATTAACTGGTTTTGCAGAAGCCCCTTGAACTGCCATGGCTTGCATGGGGCCAGGGTTCTGGTACATTGCTTTGGAGGTACGTGAGATGGCACCAAACCTTGATACCGTAGGCCGATCTCCAAATGGAATAAGATCATCATCACCAGTCTCTGCTGCTCTCCTTTGTAAATCCAAACGTTGGTCTCGCATTCCCTTACTGTCCACGTTCTGGAATGAGAGATTTAATGAACAAAATTACAAACACGTGTCTCCTTTCTAGCTGACACATTTCTCACATGAAGCGTATGTTTCCATTTCACAAGTATGGCAGGGCAACTGTAATTTATCAAACATCTAAGCAAATAATTTAGAAGTTGACAGCATTCAGAATATTCTTTGCAATGCTAAATATTTTGTAGTATGAATGCACAAATCAAGAAAAGGCCTTTGCAAATAAGGTACAAAAAATAATTAGATTATCTATAGGACATAATTCTCTTCTCTCAAAAATACTGTATCACCAGGCCATTATGGGGCTTGGGAAAAATTACAAAGAGTTGAGCATGGCTGGAGAAAAATTAATCCCTACTTCACTGTTTCAATGATCTCTCCCCAACTTTGCTTTATATAAATGAAATTATAAACAGGGAGGGGAAAGAGAAAAATTCTAACTCAGCTACAGACAGACAACTGGGAGAGAGAAAGACTAGAACAGTAAATTTGGCACAGGCATGGCAGGCAAATTTTCTATGAGAGATTTGTTTAAGCTCACACAGCTCTTTCTCACAATGTGCTAGCAATGTTCACTAAATTCTGGCTCATTTCAAGCTTCACATCATATTATAATTAAAGTCCACATAGTGGTTTAATTTCCTAAATGTATGACAGTCATATTTGAAAGATATTTGTTTGCTTTCCTTTTTATCCTCTTAACTCTGTAAGTTTACTACTACAGGTGGTCCTCTGGTCAGTGACCGTTCAAACTTGCGATGGCACTGAACAAGGGGGACTTACGACTGGTCCTCAGAGTTCCAGCTATTGCAGCGTCCTGTGGTTGTGTGGGCACACGGTGCCTGGCTTGCGATTACAATGTTGCAGTGAATTGAAGTCACATGATCGCAATTTCCAACGTTCCCTGCTGGCTTCCCACAAGCAAAATCAAATGGAAAACCAGCAGTAAGTTGGAAGCCATGATCATGTGTGATCCTCACTTAACAATGGCAATCAAGACTGCTGGAACTGCCATTGCTAAGTGATGTGATCATATGACATTGTGCTTTATGACTGTGTCGCTTAGTGATGATAATTCCAGTCCCAATTGCTGTCGTAACCCGAGGACTATCTATATTTCCATGATAACTCTAAAAAGAAAACAACTGCTATAATAAAGATCTACCATTCAGATAGCAAAACATATAGCAGTGATCTGAAAACACACTTGAAAGACTTTTACTTAATCAACATGGAATGGTAGCTACAATTTCTCATAATTGTTTCCACTCAAGTAGGTAATATGGTACCAGCCCTCTAGCTACTTTGCCTCCCCAACCCCCAATACCTGCCATACCCCACAGCTCACCTCTGTTTTTAATTTTACCATTTTAAAATGAACATAAACATTTTTTAAAATACTTGCTGGCTGAACAGCAGAGCTCCAGCTTCCAGCTGCTTTGCCCCTACTCCTTTTTCTTGTCTAAGACATCTGGGCTGACATTCTTTGAGAAAAACAAAAAGTAACAGCTGCAAGCCAGAGTTCTTCTGCTCCCTAGTTAGCCAACATTCAAATAAAAAAGAAATAAGAAGCGTGCTTGAGGAAAGGGAGATGCCCTAAAGTGAGCAGGGAAATATCAATCCAAAGGCTATGGAAGTGTTGGGTGGGGGGATTGGGGGAGGAAGGCAAGTGGGAGAGACCAAAGAAAAATCTAGACACATGTACAAATTTAAGGATACACAGAATAGAGCAACATTCCCCATATTTTGTGATTAATCATACATCCAAAACAGCTAATTGTAAAGTGGCATCAGGACATACTTTGAAAATGTCCCCACCTGGTGATGTCTGAACTATCCATGAGAGCAAGGAAAGAACACCTGATGTAGCATAATCCTCATTTAATGACCACTTGTTCAGCGACTGTTCAAAGTTACAATGGCGCCAAACAAGCGGTAGTTACAACTGGACCTCGTACTTATGCCCGACGCGTCCCTGCGGTCATGATCCAGGTGCTTGGCATCCAGCGGTCATGCAATCAAGATTTGTGACATTCCCTGCCGACTTCCCACAAGCAAAATCAATGGGGAAGCCAACACGAAGTCATAAGTTGCAGTCATGTGAGGTCCTTGCTTAATGACTCACATGGTCCTCATTTAACAATGGCAACCAGGACTGCCAGAACTACTGTTGCTAAGTGGCGCAGTCATGTGTTTTTTTGACTTACGACCATGTCACTAATTGGGAGTTTCCAGTCCCAATTAGTACTGTTAAACAAGGACTACCTGTTCAGTGCTAGTACTGATCCTTAAGCTTCTTGTCAACTGTTGCCACATTAGCTACAAATGACTGGAGAAAATCTGTTGGAAACCTTTGTATACTCCATAATCTGCTCTTCTGGTTACTTACCGACTACCAAGAGTACCTTGCTGTTTTTTTTTTTCTGCATGCTTACCACCATCTCCACAAGACCCACTGCCACAATATCTTTGGGTTTTGCATCTTTGGTTCCAATGTAGGAGCCAATAGTGTCACACGACCAGGGAGAATACTGGCTGTAATCATTTCCTTTGTATTTGCCTGCTACCTTCAGGTCTTCATCCAAGTACTGCATAAAAACAAAGCCCACTCATGTCAGTAAAGAAAAAAAGCATTCTCCTGCCATTTGGAATTACCTTGACTAGACTAAAATGAAAATATACACCTATCCTTGCAGGTAAAAACATTTATTAAACATAAGTTGAGACCACCTATGAGATTTGAAATTTCTCAGGGCCTTTAAGATTAATTCCTAATCCTTGGGATCTTGTACTCAGTAGCAGGGCTCCTTGGGAGAAAAAACAGTGGGAGCGACTTATGGGAGAGACTTGCGACCTTCCCTGCCAGGTTCCCCATTGACTTTGCTTGTAGGAAGCTGGCAGGGAAGGTTACAAGTAGTGATCAAGTGACTGCAGCTCATTGTGACATCATAATCCTGAGCCAGGCACCTGGGTTCTGGGATCACGATCATGTGACCATGAGGGCACTGTGACAGTAGCAAGTTCACAGACCTGTTGCAAGCCCCCCTCATTTAGCGCCGTTGTAACTTTGAACGGTCACTGAATGAGTGGTCATAACCTGAGAACTACCTGTAATCTTTAATCCCAGAATACTGTGAGCTACGATATGGTCTGTACTGAAGTCCTATTTACACATGAAGAGATTATGATTAAACAAATAAACAGTGTACTGTGTAATGGCTTTATTGAATATACAGAGCCAACAGTTACTGTCTTTGTAAATTTAGTAACTTGTCGCATTTCCTTTAGCAGCAATGACTTCAGCCAAATGTTTCTTTTGTTAATTCATCCCACATATCAGTTTGCAAGTATTCTGACCTACTTCTCTTCACACAACTGCTTTAACTCACTGATATTTTGGGGCTGTCTAGATGAACTGCTTGCTTTAGTAATGTCACAACATTTCAACTGGGTTAACGTGAGATTTACTTGGGTGTTCAGGATCACTGTCATGCTCCATGGTCCACATTCATTTAAGCTGCAGCTCACAGCTGGATATCCAGACATTGTCCTGCAGGAGTTGTGGTGTAATGCAGAATACATTCTTCCCTCAATGATTGTGTGAACTGTCCTGGCCCTGAAGCTGCAAAGAACCCCTCCTCCCCCCAAAATGAGAACTGCACTGCCACGTTTCATGACTGGGATGATGTCTTTTTGCTAGAATGTACTCTATCCATTTCTACACTATCTTTCTGAGTGTGGACTGATGGAGACCAAAGTCTTCGGTAATGATTTTGTAGCCTTTTCCAGCCTTGTGAACACTGATATTTCTTTTTCTGGAGTCTGTAGAAATCTCTTTTGAATGGGACAAAATTCACTTCCACAACCATCGATCATGAAAAGCAGACTCTGATAGTGCCAGTCAACATTTTTTAAATGGGAAGAGCCCCCCAAGCTCACCATCTGATTATCATCTCAGTGACTGGAACACGTGATTCAATTTATCCCTTAAGACAGCAGATTATCCTAGATCTTCACATACTTTTTCCAACAAACACAGTGAATTATAGCTCATTGTGCTCAGTACTGCAGGATTATGGATTATTCTAATAGCTTCACAAAATTCTCTCAGCATTATATATATTTAAAACCCAATATGCATGAGTTCATCATTTGGGGTATTCTTAGGATGCCAGTTGAGATATCATTCATATTCTGATTTAAGCCATGTGTGAACATCTGATGAGACACACATATATGGTGAATTAGACAGAACTAGACCAGTCTCTTTTGTATACATGGTATGATGGGACTTAGATCATGGCAGAATATTATTCAACCTGGCCATTTACTTTTCTCTCTTTAGGGCAAATTTCTCATATTTTTTTCATCACAATGCACATTTCTAATGTCCTCTACTGAAGTATTTTAAACTTATGCTTACCTCATCAGTGTGTAAAGAATGAGGCAGGGTTGGTGATGATGCAAATGGTGGTGGGGAGATGACCTTTCTTTCTTCTAGCTGGGCCATGATCTCCTTTCGCCTTCGATGCAATTCATCTAGACTAGGGTGTGGTTGAGGGGGAGGCCGACTATAAGGCTCCTGAAGGTTTTAAAAGAAAAAAAATGCAGATGTGAAGATTTCTGTATTCTACAAACGAGCTTAGGTCTACAATCCCATAGCCATAAAATGCTCTAGCAAAGCAGCAAAATTATTTCAATAACAATATTAGTTTCTCAGTAATTCCATCTTCTTAGATCCATTAATGTCTGTTATAAAATATTATAAAGGATTTTAAAAAGAGCCATCAATTTCATATGGCAAAAGAGCAAAGTATTCTGGAGAAAGTAAGGAATGCTACCTTAAATTTCCACAAAATTTCCCAGTGCAAGATTTTAATGTTACATTTTATAATTAAGTTTTGATTTTTTTTCAATTTAGCAAATTAACCACCTTTTTATCAATGAAGTAATATTGAGCTACTACAATCCAAATGATACATTTCCAGGTATAGAATCTGATTATTAGGCTAAAGTTATAATACTAGATGTATTAACTTTCTAATCACTGATGTTGGTTTTCTGTGATCATTTGACTAGACTCTTAATCTGATTTATACTTAGCGAACAAAACAAAGCACACCAAAGCCACATACAAGAAGCTATCTTATTTCCATTAAAATTATTATACAATCAGAAAGCATAAATATGAGTAATTTAAAATAGATGTTTGCAATCTACTCAATGTGACTTTGAAGAAGGCAGGAGACCACTGGAGTTAGCAGCTCATTGTCTGCAGACATTAGAATATAGTACTTGAGCTATAAATTCTCCTATCATCTAGCTATCCAAATATTTAACGCCCATATGGGCCTCTCAGAAATACCCAGTCATTTGGCTTCTCTAAACTCTGGAATGAAGCAAAACAACATACGCCAAGCGCTCTATATTTGTTCTTATTCATTGTGACACATCAGAAATGCTATCTATCTGTCTGGTTTGTATATCTGTGAATGAATGGCTTCAGGAAAGGAAAGATTAAAAAAACCCTCCTCAGTCCTGAAGATATGTGTCCTAAGCCCTCAGAGGCAAAGAACAAAAGATAAAAGTACCACCTCCTCCTCAAGGCTTCCTTAGTCCATTACAGAAATAATTCAGCTCTTCCTGCAAATTGGAATTCTGTTCTGGAATTTGAGAGATGGGGAAGAAGTGCAATTCTGTCCCATTTCTTGATTTACAATAATCAGTGACAGGCTTTCAATGTCTTGCACCTCCCTCATTCCTTGCAGAAGCAAAATTAATTATAAGAAATAAGACAAATTATTTAAATTTGCATTTATGAAATGTGTAGAGCTTGGCTTTTCTTTTTGCAATATTTGTATTTTGGTGTAGATTTTTAAAATCTAAACTCAGAATATACACTGCCCTGAGTTAGGTTTGCTTTGTTAATTTAGTGGCCTTAATGAAGCCATCTATCTGTTCATCCAATCTGTAAAATGGGACGGCAAGCAGTTGCTGCAAGAATTAAGACTAAAAATGACACTATTACCATAATCATAAAATAAGAAAAATGTATCATACTCTATGATATGAAGGTCTAATCTGATTCAGATGTGGTCCAACTGGATAGTAGCCCTCCACTTGTTGATATCTATCTCTTGTTTCGGGTACATATGGTGATACAGCAGGTGGAGAAATTTCAATTGGCACAGGACTTCCTCGGATAATCTCTTCCCGTTGGTATGGCTGGGCAGGAGGATACACACGTCTGCTGTCATAATGGGGAGGATATACAGGTTGACCCATTGGAGGGTATTGCTGTGGCTGTGTGCTGTACTGTGAGTTCATGATGCGATCTTGGAGATAGGGTGCATAATGTTGCTCTACAAAAGGAGGACCCGGTTCAGGAACAGATGATGGAGGTCGGACAAATCGAGACATACACTGTAATGACTGAGCTGGAGGATAATATACACCTAAGTATATGAAACAAGATTTTGAACAATGCTTAGTCCATTGTTTTAGCTACTGCAGAGAACCAGAGTTTGCAGGAAACAAAATGTCAGTTCAATTTTTTTGTCCCATTTACATCTGAAGACATACATTCATTTTCACAAACTACATCTGTCCTAAAAGATCTGGGGAAAGCATCCTATTATGATGATAAAAGTTAACTGATCTTCACTATTCAACCACAAAAAGGAAAAAAAAAATCACACTTTATTTCAAGACAAAATTTCATCTAAATGGAATTTACCTGCTTGATAAGGTGGAGGCTCAAATGGGGGAGCTGCTCCTCGAGGATCTGGATAGAACACATCAGTTTGCTGAGCTGGGTACAACTGGGAGCCTCGTGGAACCATTTGGAGCTGTTTACCTACTGATATTGGAGGCAAGTCTGTAGGTCCTCGGGGGGGCACTGGGTGAGAGCTCTTAGAAACAGGTTCCAGCCTAGATGAGACAATTACAATGTTGGAGCAATTACATATACTATTTTATTGCTGCTTTGTGCTTCCATTTATTTCAAGGAAACTTAGGATTTCCCTCCCATATACTCCTAACAATGACAGAAACAGAATGTAATGCAGAAACATGACCAGGAAGATGGATTGCACTTCAGATACTACAAGGATCCCTGCTCAAAGTGTTGGCAAATATTTCAATCTACTGAGAGAAAAACAAGAAACAAAACAAAGGGTGGTACATTTATAACTATAATAGATAGAAGTGAAGAAGCTATGGTTGACATTTACCAATATGAACCTAGGAAATATTAAGTTTAACCAATAGTCCATCTAGACAGCTACCATGTTACGTAAGATTGACTTGTGTACATTGTGCAAGAATTTCTATAAGCTACATCTGAGATATTTGCATTATGCCTATATAATATAAAGTGGTACAGCATGTGGAAGAAAACTCGACTTACAGCAAATTTGCTGATGCTGACGGGACGCAGTTTTCAGTGACTTGAGAGAGGAATTCTAATTCTAATTCCCTACATCTGGGAAATGACCTTTGGATCATCTGATTCAAAGTATGTGCTCTTCTGTTGTACTCTGCCACTTATCTAAAGCCCCCCCCCCCCGCAGGAAATTACACCTACGCATTTCTTCTATTTTAGACCAATATCAGTTTGGTTCTTGTTTGGAGATAACAAGATGCTAATAATGAATTTTATTCATTTGACTGATTTATCTTGCCTTTTTTCCAAGAGCTCAAAATGGCTTTTATAAGAATCTCTCTTCATTTTATCCCCACAGCAACAACCCTGTGAGATTATGATTTGTTTTCTGATCCGATATAAGCTGAACATCTCAATAGTGGCAGTACTTGGTTGACCTTGCCTGGGCTTGGAAGCTAAGGAAGGCTGGCATAGTCAATACTTGGATGGAGATTTCCAAAGAAGTACCATGGTGGTTGGCCAAACTGGGAAGTTTAAAAAAGTATCTTGAAAGAAAGCAATGGTAAATCACTTCCACATTACTGCCAGGATAATGAAAGGCATGTCCATGAAGTCAACAGGAATCAAATTCAACTTTAAGGAAATTTTATATGCTGAAAACAGGTTTGATCCCCTAGGTTTTGATACTAAAAAAATGATTCACAGGTGGAAAAGGTTGTATACATCAAGTTGTATACAAGTTGTCCATGAGGAATCAGCAATATAAATCAGGTGAGTATCTAAACATATAAATAATCCAATATTTTTAAGGGCATAGATATAAAATGCATGCTCCAATGTACATGAATGGCACTGAAGTGCAGAAGTATACATTCTTCATTTTGATGTACATACAATTTTGGCATGTGGAAGCACACGTAGATTACTTTTCTGGAAGCAAATTTACATTGTCAAATTCTAAGAGATAAAAATATAGAAGCATACAAATCAGGAGGTGATCCAGGGGCACTGTTACTATGGTGGTCCATCTTCCCAGGTTTCATGACTGAGTCATAACTGGAGTCGGTCCCACGAGAGATAAGTTGTGTCACTGCACTGCCTGGTGAAACAATCCCATTTGGCAAGGTAGAGGGTTTTCTATTGGGTAAGTCCACTGATGCTTCATCTGAGATAATAGCTGCTGCTGGTAGGCCTACTTCATTTAGTTGACCTAAGGAGGCACTCAAAGGTCTTCGAGGAACTAGACGTTTGTTCATTTTTCGAAATCTTCAGGAAAAAATAAGTCAATCAATCAATCAATCAATCAATCAATCAATCAATCAAAACAGAATTGTCAGAAATAGCCTGACTTTCAACAAATAGCTGCAACAGGATACATTTTAATTCAGGCCTGATATTTACAAATAGTATAAATACATGCTATACATGTGGATATCATACAGCTAGATATTACTGATAATGACTGAAAAATGCCACAAGATCTCAAACTCTGGAAAAGTAAACATGTTAGCTGTAGCATTTTTATTTATTCTTTACTTAACAGCTTTTAGATGCATGCCTGAACTTGTCTTCCTCTCCCAGTTCTCTCTTTCTCACTCACTATATGTTTGTGTGTGAGAGAGAGAAAAAGGAAGAGAGAGAGAAAGAGAGAACAGTGTGACTTTGCTTACATTGGTTTAGACAGCATATGGATGTAGCATATAGTTCAAAATATGAACAAACCTCAGGCAGTCTCTCAAGAATTATGTACCATCAACTCAAACCCAGAAAACAATGTCTGTTTTCCACAGTGGCAAACTAGACGTCCTTAAAAAATCCTGCTTCCTGATATCTGATTCTGGATGTTGTTCGCCACAAGAGTTCTCCAAGAGCTCCATGAATTTGTTTGATCTCCTTTTAAAATTATATAAATGGCAACCACCATATTTTGTGGTAGTGAAGCCAGAAATTAAGTATGATTTATATGTAGAAATATTTTCTTCTCCGCAGTGTATTTCCTGAATCACCGGATGATTCTCAGTTCTGCCATAGAAAACACAGCCTAATCCTGTTTCTTAACATATACATCATTTTAAAGTTTCTATCATGTCCAACTTACTCACCATTATCTAAACTTAAAAAACAAACAGCCTTTTCCCATAGGTTACAAAGACACTAATCCATTAGATTTTTTCCCCTCATTTTCTTGCTTTTCAACATCCAAAGATCTAGACATGGCCTGATTCAACATGTTACTGAATGAAAAACAGGCACTATGTTCCAAATGCTAGCCATTGCTAAATATTTAGAGTTTGTGTCCTTTATAGCTTGCAAGTGAAGAATTACTTGTCAACTGTTTTTAAGAGCAAATTTGGTCACAGATGACACACTCAGATTATAATTAGGCTTTCTTTCCCTTCAACCATTTGAGATGGAGATAAATAACCAATCTTTCCTGTTGTTTACAAGCATTCTGAGACCATTTTTACAACAATCATTGCCAAGTCATCTGCTGACCTGACTGCAAAAAACCAAACTATGCAGTACATTCTATTTACATTAGATAATCTTTCAGTTCATATGTGGCAATCTCTTCTACCCCAAAGGCTGCAAAAGTTGCTGAACTGGAAAGCTACAAATATATCTACCCTCACCTATCCACCACCTACAGGCTTGGTACTCACCCATCTACCAATCTATGCACTCCCTCACTTGGCCTTCACTCACCCATTGTATAGGTTCTAGATCAGTAATTTAGATGTCTGAATTGAATCTTGATAATTCTGTGTCCTGTTCCTTCTTTACCACAGAAGGAAAATAAAAGTTCAAACAATTATTTGTAGGGTGAAATTCCAGGACAATGGCCCTTACTATCCATGCCTTTCTCTGTCATTGCTTTGAGTAAGCAGTTACACAATGTTTCATGGTGTTTCTGCGTGTCTCAATAACTCACATTTATGTGCTTATGTTGTGCACATGCAGGAGCCACTGGTAACTGGTGACTGGCATTCAGTTGGGCAGTAGCACAGATGGGAAAATATGTATGTATGGAGATGGCAGACAATATTGGAACAAAAGCAAAGAAAAACATTAGGTTCCAATATTAACAGGGATAAGAGGGAAAGTGAAAGCCAAACCTGTATACAATTATGAAAGGGCTAAGAGGGAGGCTAGCAGCCAACTGATGTTGATCTCTGATCCTCAGTTCAGAGTAAAAAACAGTAACACATACATTAATTTTCCACACATCAACTGTACATGTTTTAATTTATCCTGAATGAGCAGAAGACTGGAATTCTCAAATCATGATATCACAGCAATGAGATCTCTTTTACAATGCTTCAAATGTGGCCATATTACAATATCTTTACAGTAATTGTTTTCTAATGATCTATAATATGAAACATTCTTCTTTCATAGCTGATATGCACTAAGTCATTTTTTTCACTGACTATTCACCATGATTCCAAACTTTTTTCTTATTAGTTACTCCCAATTCTTTCAATGGCAATGTGTTACTTGTAAACAGGAAATCCTGAGATGAAGATGAAGCAGATCTGCAGACCTCATCCCATCCCAACTCACATTTCTTTTTAAAAAAATTATTAACAACAAATGCAATCAGAGTCATAATGTATATGATAAAACATTAAAAAAATAGAGATGGGACATAAAATAAAATCACATGTTCACAATTATAACTGAAGAAATACAAGAAGATTAGTTGAAGCAAGATCAACTAAAAATCCAAAAGTGTTCAAAATAGGCAAGAAGGCAGATAAACTTTTTATAGCTGCTTTCAAGAGACCACACTTGCTCAAAAATATCTATTCCCAACTCACATTTCTATGATAACTTCATCCTCAAATGTAAAGATGCTGAATATTTCACTGCTCACCCCAAGTGAAATAAATTCATTTTTAATATTAACGCTTATAATTAAGAAAAAAAATCAGTTAAATATTTTCACAATTTCTTGATTGTCTTCTAAAAGAGCACTGCCATAGTAGTACTTACCAATTCTCTGATCTAAAGGTCAACTTTAAAATGTTATTTTTTCCCCTTATAATATAAGCAATTCTTAATTAGAATTCTTTAAAATCTCTAAGGTTGATGCATCCAGATGCACATATTACTAATAAAATACTACTGTATGTCTGATAAATTGCCAAGTTCTCCAATTTTTATTTGAATGATCAAAAGTTTTACTATTCTGATTCCCTGGGGATGACTCAAATCGAACTGGATGCTTCCCAGTTTTGGCTCACATATAATATTTAATGTGGAAGTAGAATAAAGACATGGAACCTTACTTTTCTAGTTCTTCCTGTGAGTGTGCAAAGGTGCAGCTGGCCCCACGGGGGCATTCTCTTCTCTGCTTCATGTCTCGGCACATATATGTCTTGTACTTGCTGTGTTGAGGAGGCTAAATTATGATAAAATAACACAAAATTGATAGAGCTAAGATTATTCTGAAAACAATTCTCCAAAATAAACTGAGAAAAAAAATCTAAAAAAAAATATAGAAAGATGTCTTAATTAAAAAATGGCATTTGAGAACTGACTATGAATAAATAAGATTCATTACTGAGGTATGTAATCCAAATCACAGCATATAGGTAATAAAATACTGGCTCTATTCATATAAACGTACATAAGACTATCCTTTATGTACTGTTACAATGTATAGATTATTTAAAAAGAAGATGTAATCATATCACTTAATACTGTGAAGATTTTAGATATAGATAAGTGATAAGGCAATCCCCATCCTCACAGAAAACTCAGTATTTTAAATTGCATTCCTTTTTATCATCATAATTTGAACTACTGAAATGAAGATGTTGCAGTTTTCTTCTCTTTCAAAATCAGTTTTTTTTCCAGGAAAAGATTTTGCATTTATTTTGGCTACTCATGGGGTAATGTAGCCTCACTAAATTGGGCACAGGTTATGGCCTGATTCTAGTCCTATATAGGCATTTAAATGAACAGAAAGAAAGAATAAAGTGACTATTTATTAATCAAATTTATATGGCCGCCCATCTCACCAAAAGTGACTCTGGGAGGCATACAACAATCAGACAAAAACATCATCTATATAAAACAATCATTATAAAAATATAAAAATCATGTTAAGGATTAAATATTATTAAAAACAAAATGTACAAACCCTAGGCAAAGAGAGAGTGTATATATCCACCTTAGTAGTGGAGCCATCTGAACATATCTCTGGTTCCCTGGGACCCCCAGGCCTGGTGACATAACCAAGCCTTGAGGGACTTCTGGAACGTCAAGAGGGGTGGAGCTAACCTGATTTCAGGCTGGTGGTGAAATGTTTCATAAGGTGGGTGCCGTGGGCGCCCAGGAGGCGCGCCCGGGGGCCCACCCAACCTCCACCTCCGCCGGAGTAGGCCCCCCACCACGCCCCCTTCCC